TCCCTCCCTCCCTCCCTCCCTCCCTCCCTCTCTCTCTCTCTCTCTCTCTCGGTTTACGGAGAATAATAGGGAGGTCGCCTTGATGTTCCCGCTCTGTAATTGACACACTCAAGTCTATCTTAGTTGTAAGTTGTAAGTGGCTTACACAGATGTGTAAACAAGCGTCAGTTTCCCAGCAGACTTGAAGTTGAGAGTAGGTAACCTGCCCCCCTCCCCCCCAATTATCCACGGAGTACTACAACTAGTCCTTCACTTACAACAATTTTTTTCAATTGACCGTACAACATTAGAGGCACTAGAAAAAGAGACTTATGACCGATCCTCACTCTTATGACCGTTCTAGCATTCCCGCATGGTCACCTGATCCAAATTTGGGCACTTAGTAACTGGCTTGTATGTATGTACAAAAAAAAAATTGCAGGGTCCGGGGTTCTCTATTAGGGTCCTTCCCAAAGGGCTCCCGACAAGCAAAATTAACGGGGGGGGGGGAACGGATCTGGATTTGCTTAACGACTTAGGAGATTCGCTTAACAACTTTGGCAAAAAAAAAAAGGTCCTAACATTGGGGCACGGCTCACTTAACAACTGCCGGGCTTAGCCAATGGAAAATCTGTCCCCTGATTGTGGTCGTAAATTGAGGACCGGGAAAGGGGGAGGGAGGAGTCTTTCACTTGAACAACCACACTGCACAGTAGGCCAAGGCTGCCGTGTTGCCACCTGTTTTTCTCACCTGTGTCTGAGTAGAGTTTGAAACTCTTTCCGCCTGTTGGAAATGGCGCATCCAGTTTTAACCACCTGTTTCGCTCTGGTTTGGTGGGGCATCGCTGAGTTTCTCCCAGCTTCCCCGACACAATAGAAGTCACACAAAATAGGCGTCCCCCAAGCACACACACACACACACACACACACACACTCGCACTCACCTTCCTGGGTGTGGCTGATGCCCATCAACCAAGCCAGCAAACTGGACAGAAGGCACCACCTCACTTGGTCCATCTTCCCAAACCGAAAAGTTGCCTCGAAAATCATCCCAGCTTCCAACACAGTTTAGTGGCTCATCGGTGGAAGGAAGAAAAAAAAAAGGGGGGGGGGGGGGGAAATTTTAATAAAAAAAAAAAAAGGAATCCGGAAAAAATCTGTTGGGGAAAAACCAGATTTCTCCCCAAGAAGCAGCAGCCTCTGCCTTCACCGAATCATGGAAAGGCGGCCGAAGAAATGACCCCTCGAATCGGAGAAAACAAATGACGAAGTCCGCGGTGAAGTCAGCACCCAGGAGGCCGGAGGAGCGATGGATCCAAAGTGCCCCAAACTCTGGAATAATTCCTCAACTCAAAACAATTTTCTGTCTCATTGAAATCAAAAAGAAGAAGATGAACAGGGGGGAAGTTTAGGGACTATCCGAAAGAATTCCGTTCCCCCTTTCAAAATCCCTGCGTTAATTTGCTTTTTGGCTCAGCAAAATTGATTTTTCTTCTTTCCCGGCTCTGCTTTTCTGGTGTCTGAAGAACAGCTGGGTGTTTTTTTTTTCCTTCTTCTTCTCTCTAGTTCACTCTTGGGTTCCTCCTACTCCGGCTCCTGAGCCCAGAGGAGCCTACCCAGACCTTACAATAAAGTTGCTTACTCAAGAGAATTAACTTCTTGCTTACTCAAGAGTGTCATCTTCTCCAAAAAGACAGTGAGAGTGAGTGAATGAGAGAGAGAGAGAGAGGGAGAGAAGAGATTGGGGAAGAGACAGCTTCCCTTTGCTCTCACTCCAGACAACTCCTACACACAGACAACTCCTACACACAGCCTCAAACTTGTGTGATAGTAGAGGCAGCAGCAGCAGAAAACACCTCGAAGATTAGCATAGCCGGCTGATTTTGGGGCCAGCGGGGAGGGGTGGGTGGGTGAGTGAGTGGGTGGGTGGATGCCTTGGAAAAACCAGAAAGTACAGAGAAGGGGGTGCAAATTCCATCCGGCTGTAGGAGGGTTAAGGGGAGGAGGACAAAAGGAGAAGGGAAGAAAGAATTTTCCTTAAAGTTACACTCACCCAGATTCTTCAAAGTAGAGTTCTGACAAGAACACCCCCCCCTCACCAGCCCAAAAAAGACAGTCTGGGATAGCAGCCTGAGAAAAGGAAGGAAGGAAAAAACTTTCCCCAACTTTCCACACTCCCCGAAAGAGAGGCAACCTTGCCCACAGCAAGTGAAACACGGCAGGAAAATATAATATAATATAATGTTGTGGCTTACGGCCAACTATGATAGGGCGGGCGCCACTGTCAGTCAACTTTTATGAGGGTCAAAGACCAGCTTAGGTGCTGGAGTCGATCAGCTGTTTTCAATTTTCTGGAAGGTGAAATGGCTCTTGCAAAAATTATTTCCGGGCCTGATTTTTGTTTTTTTCCCCCCGGAGTAGAAAAATCCCTCGGAATCGACAACGTGGAGGGGATCGAACCGGCGGATGCTTCTGGGAGGAATTTGGGGGTCTTTCTGCTGTAATTCAGCGGAAAGAATCGAGCGTTCGGTACAAGGCTTTGCGTAAACTACTTCAGCTTAATGCCATCCAGAAAGGAATGTCTCAGCCGCTGGTTTCTGTTCTAAACAATTAGCTCATCTTACACAATCCCCTCAGACCATTTTCTGATCTTCTGAATCTGCCGGTACTTGTTCTTCTCCCTCGAGTGACTCAGACAAGCCAACATTGCAAAAGGAGGGATGAGGAAAAAAAAACGGAGATGACCAGGGACGGCTCCCCTTAGCACAGGGCTCAGCAATCTGCGGCTCCGGAGCCGCATGTGGCTCTCTCATCCCTCTGCTGCGGCTCCCTATCTCCGGTCGGCTCCACAATTGGTTGGGCTTTCGGTTAGGACAGGTAGAGGAAAAAAGTTGCCGCACTAGGAGGAGAAACTCTATGGTGGGGGAACCGGACTTCCAGTCGGCTCCAAAATTGAAGGGGGGACCTTCCGTTTAGGACCTTTGTGGCTCTTTGAGTGTTTAAGATTGCCGACCCCTGCCTTAGCACGGACATGTCAATTCCTCCCTTTGGCATCGTTGAGGTTAACGTACCTCAACTTCGGCGACTCTAAAATCAGGGGTTTTTTAAATTCAGAATGTTGGAGATGTGATTGTGTTGACGCTATTTATTATCATGTATAGCAATAGCAGTTAGACTTATATACCGCTTCATAGGGCTTTCAGCCCTCTCTAAGCGGTTTACAGAGTCAGCATATCACCCTCACAATCTGGGTCCTCATTTTACCCACCTTGGAAGGATGGAAAGCTGAGTCAACCTTGAGCCGGTGAGATTTGAACCGCTGAACTGCTGAACTAGCAGTCAGCTGAAGTGGTCTGCAGTACTGAACTCTACCCACTGCTCCACCTCGGCTCTTTTTATGTATGGTGGACTTGTAAAAAAGTTAAAGCATTTTGGATAAAAATATGGTGGATTATGCCAAATATTCTTAAAAAGGGGATAAAGTTTACTCCTCAGTTGCTCTTGTTAGGTATAATCACAGACTGTACAGTTATAGAGACTAATTTGATTCTGAACTTAACAACGGCAGCAAGATTGTTGGTGGAGAACCAGTTTGAAAGTGGATTACCGGCTGTGGCTGTGTCCCAAAGGATGCTGGGAATTGTAGTCTCGGGCAATTCACCTGGGCGGCCTTTGCTGTGAAATGGATTTAAAGAGAGGATGAAAAGGATGGACGGAAAGGTGCTGTGTGGTCATCTAGTCCAACCCACTGTTTTCTTCTTCCCTTCTTTGTGCCCCAAAGCAAAGTTTCGGAATAAAATCAGGAAATCTTGGAAAGCAGGAAAAACATTGAAATTCGGAGAACGCCTTTGGAGACAAGGCCAGTGAAAGAATTCTGCAGCATCTTAAAAATTTTGCCGTTGGTTTCTCGCTGGTTTTCTCGGCAGTTTGCATCCTGTTTGTTCCCCAGTTCTCTTCCCCCAATCTTCTCTGCAACCAAGGCCACGTCCCTCCCCGCTTTAAAAAAGAAAAAGAAAGAGGAGATAAAGTGGCCTTAAAATGCCCCATTGTCTGTGTTGTTGTTTTTTTGCCAAACCTCAATGTGTTTGCCTAGTTAACCATTTAACTCACCGCAAAGAGAAACTCGGCAGCGGATCAATTCCCAGAACATCGGTGAGAGCAATTTTAATTTGGCTTTACAGGAGAGCTGGATAAAATGTTTCTGAAGGATCAGATTGAAAACCCAGCCTAATCCCAACCCCAACCCTAGAGATAACAGAATCACAGAGTTGGAAGGGACTTTGGAGGTCTTCTAGTCCAACCCCCTGCTCAAGCAGGAAAGCCTATATAATTTCAGGCAAATGGTTATCCAATCTCTTCTTTAAAAACGCCCAGTGTTGGAGCATTCACAACTTCTTGTGGCAAGCTGTTCCACTGATTAATTGTCCTCACCGTCATGAAATAGCAATAGCAATAGCAGTAGACTTATATACCGCTTCATAGGCCTTTCAGGCCTCTCTAAGCGGTTT